TCTCCATGAAGATAGACAGCACCCCATCCCCAATCATCTGGGCCAGAAACCTGGTGGTCCTTCACTCCTCCCTTTCTACCAACCAGCATCCCATCCATCACTGAGTCCTGTGCATTTCATCTCCCAAACAACTCTCACAATGATGAAAAATTTCCCTCCATCAGCTCTGCTGTGGTCCAGGCTTCTGCTGGCTCTGCAGACAATTGCAGTTGCTGTCTCCTTGCATCAGGGCCAAAGCCTCTCCAGTCAATTTGTACACGGCAGTCAGAGCCACCTTCCCCAGACCCAGATCCAGCCCTGTCCTTTCTAAGCTCAGTATCCTTCTATGACTTCCCATTTTCTGCAGAATCAAGTTCAGACTCCTTAGCCTAGTAGGCAAGACCCTCCTTAAGTTGACTGATGTTGACTTTGTAGATCTTGACCTGTCTCTCCTCAGCACCCCTCCCCCACCCCACCCCCACACACATGAAGTTGTAGCCAAACTGAATGTCTCCATTTCCCTGAGAACAAGGTAGCTGCTGTCCAGTTCTTCCAGGTCCTGTATGTGCTGTCCTCCCTGCTTGGTGTCCGCATCAGGCCAACTCCTTCTTTTCCTTCAGCAGAGACAGAAGGTCATTCCTGACCCTCAAGTCAGGGCTAGAAGCACCATCTCAAAATAACCCTGGCATCTGGAACCTCTCCCACCATAACACTTGTCCCTTGTCTATTTCTGAATCTCCCTCTTGCAAAAGGGTCTGTGAGCCACTGAAGGGCAGGAACTGGTCTATTCTCCGAGGCCGTCAGACTGCCCAGGGCCTGCAGTGGCGAGCGCTTGTCCAATGAATGAGTGCCTGAGTGGTAATCGGGCCCTCCTGTGTATGTGCCCTGTTCACATGGTGACAAGACTTTTAAAAAAAAAAACAATTAATGCAAAAAAAAGTGCATGAACAAAATACTATGTTTTAAAATCGAGGTAACATAGGTTAATAACATTATATAAGTTTCAGGTGCACAACATTATAATTTGATAGCTGTTACACTATAGTGTGCACACCACCAAAAATCTAGTTTCCATCTGTCATCGTACCTTTGACCCCCTTTACCCACTTCATCCTCCCCCGTCCCCTTTCCTTCTGGTAGCTGTCAATTTGTTGTCTGTATCTATGAGTTTGTCAAAATAGCAAAATTTTATTTTATTATTTTTTTTGCGGGGGGCAGGGACTTTGAGCTTTTATTGGATTATCATTGGATTAAAAAAGGGTGGGGGGTGCTGTCGTGGGGCCCCTGGTCTGTGAGGGTGCTGTAGCACGAGGCTGCAGTTCTATTGTTGTCCGCTGCCTGTGGCTGTAGGGTACAGTTCGTTCTGTTCTTGCTTTCCAGTAATTCCCAGTCCTGGAAAGACTGCCCTGAACCACTTGACAAAGCAAGGTACCAGGCCTTTCTCCCCAGGGGCACTTTTTGGCTTTGAAAGTCAACCTTAATTCCTTAAGGCTTTCTGGTTACTTTCCAGAGTCCTGGCATGACTTCATTAACAGTTGCTGAATTCTGGAGCAAGTAGGCAGGGAGGGAAATATAAATGTTTCAGTATTCCTTGTGAGGGTATAATTTACAAATTGTTCTAGAGAAAAACAAGTTTTTGTTTTTCTCTGGCCGTGAAGATGGGTGAGGAGGAGGCTATCCCCATAGTCTGGAGAAATGGAAAAGCATCACATCCCTCTCTCCGAACCTCACAGACACAGGGTTGGGGGATCAGCCCAGGGTGAGCTTCCACTGCCCACTGCTCCCCTAGTCACAAGTCTCAGGAGGCCGGAGGAGAGGGAGAAATAGAGAATCTTCCTGTATGGGCCACCAAAATGTTAGGGTGGTCGGTGACATGGGCTGTGAAAGAACTCACAAAGAGAAGAGGTGTAGAGAGTAGTTTGTATTCACTCTCCAAGAAAGGAGAGGGGTGTGGAGTGGAGAATACAGCAATATACCAAAATTTTAAGTGTAGACAGGAACATGATAGTGCCAGGTAGAGCCATATTATAGTTGGAGGCAAAAGGAAGAATCAATAATACTGCTTTTGACTTTTAAAAATATTGCATCAAATTTTTATTTGATTACTGAATTGTTGGGTGACCCCTTACATTTAGTACCTAAGTGAGTGCCTCAGAAGACCTATCCTCCCTGGTCCTGGCGGGAACTCAACAAACCTGGGCAGGCTTGGCCCAGGGGGCTGGACTCAGAAGGATGTCTTGCGTTGAGTTTTCTGGCTGGAGAGGGGCAGTTTCTGGAGGAGACTTTCCCCTAACCCACTGAGCTGGAGCCTAAACCCAGGGAGAGGAAGGGGCTGACTTGGGGGAGGAGGTGGGTGTGGAGTGGGGGATGGGTAGGGATGTGACTTCCTCAAAAGCTCCTATGGAGGAGCACCGTGCACTCCCAGCTACAGGCTGCCTCCTCGCCTCTCTCAGGCCCCAGGAACAAGGTCCGTGCAGGCAGGAGGGTCCAGCAGGGGAAAGAAACAAAGCCAGTCTCAAATGAATGGGCATCTTGGGCTGAAGAGAGAGAGAGAGGAGGACCTGACTGAGGTTGTGGAGCAGCGATTTTCAAATCTTCTTGTCTCGGGATCTCTTTATGTCCTTAACAATTTTTCAGGGCCCCAGCCAGCTTTTGTTTATATGGGTCATATCTATCAATGTTTGCCATATTCAAAATTAAGACATTCTAAAAAATTTTACATATAGAAACCAATAATAGAGTTATTCCATGTTAACATAAATAACATTCTTAGTGAAAAATAACTAAAATTTTCAAAACAAACATTTCAGGGAGAAGAGTAGCATTTATTTACATTTTTTGCAAATCACTTCAATGTTAGGTTTGGTAGAACACAGCTGGATTTTTATATCCGCTTCTGTATTCAATCTGTGGTGATATGTCATTTTGGCCAAAATATATGAAGAAAATTTGGCCTCACACAGACAAGTATTTGTAAAGGGACGAATATTTTAATATCTTCTTCAGGTCATTGGTGACACTCTTCTCTAATACTACATCAGAGCTTCACAAATGGTAGTTTCTTAAAGGTTAGTTGCAATGTGGAACCTGGACCATATCATGCAACATTTTGTAATTTGTTACCCTCTGAGGCACTGGAGTACCTGACTCTTTGAATCTTTTACCTATGCAGAATTTTGAAATATTATGTCTTCCTCATTGGGAAAATATCGGTTCACTGAGTTATGCAGTTCTTTCAAATATTGACCTTTCATTATAAGATATAAAAAATTGCATTTATTAATATCAGCACCAATCTCATCAGAAAATTCTTTAAGTGTGGGAAAGCTGTCAGGCCCCTGCTGGCACATACAATTTTTCCAAAAATTCTAATGTCCCTTGAAAGCTTGAATTTTATCACTGGCAATAAATAGTTTGTTTTCCTTGAAGTAACAGCTTCACTCCCTCATATCTGAGAAAACGTCTGCTAGATACTCAAGTCTGAAAAAACACAGTTGGCCATTTTTTCAAATGATAATGGCGATCCTCAAAAAAGTTCATCTCATAGCTCAAACAATCACATAAGTGCTTTCCCGAAGACAAACAATTTATCTCAGTTCTCGGCAGAAGTGTTTCATGTGGCTTTCCCATGATGCAGAATATTAAAAAAGAGGGGAGGAGGAAGGGGGCTGGGTGAGAAGGATGAAGGGATTAAGCAAAGAAAAAAAAAGAGTCAGGGACACAGACAACAGTATGGTGACTGCCAGAGGGAAGAGGATGGGGGAGGTAGGAGAAGGGAAAGAGGGGAAAATGGTGGTGGAAGGAGACTGGACTTCAAGTGGTGAACACACAATACAATATACAGATGATACATGGTAGGATTACATACCTGAAATCTGTATAATTTTTAACCAGTCTCACCCCAATAAATTCAAGAAAACAATAACAAATGTGTACTCATCTCTTTAAAAAATATGTGTACTCACCCTGGTTGGTGTGGCTCAGTGGACTGAGCGCCAGTCTGTGAACCAAAGGGTCACCAGTTTGATTCCCAGTCAGGGCACGTGCCTGGGTTGCGGGGCTGGGTCCCCAGTGGAGAGCACGTGAGAGGCAACCACACATTGATGTTTCTCTCCCTCTCTTTCTCCCTCCCTGCCCCTATCTCTAAAAGTAAATGAATAAAATTTTTTAAAAAGATGCGTACTCAAGATTTAATAAAATGAATAATTTCCTTGCTTTACCAAGGACATTTTAATGTGATTTAAAGAGAAAATGGCTTTAAAACAAAACAAAACACTGAGTGTATGGCTACAAAGAAGCTGACTCCTACTACAGCCTGGTGCTGCTGCCTTGATTTATGCCAAGGAGTAAGCTGTTTTGCAACATCAACGCAAATGTCAGCATAGTGAAAAAGGCATATAATGTATTTTTATGGCAATAGTTTTGACTTCATAGATCCCCTAAAGATCTCAGAAATATTCCTCCCTCCTCATTCTGTGGGCCCACTTTAAGAACTGTTAACCTAGAGCTCTGGAATCAGACGGCAGAGCTCCCTGCAGTGGTGGAAAAGGTCCCACAGCATAAAACTATGTGATTCAAATCAACTGTGTAATTCACAGTGTGCCTTGAGGGTGCCGTTAGTTTCTAAAGAAATCACACTGAATTCTTAGAATAATGGAAACTACCTTTATTTAACTTAATGCAGACACACCACGACCACAGTAAATGGAGCAAAGCACAAAAATTTTCTCAATCAACAAAATTCGTATTAAAGCCAGTTGTTTCTTTAAACTCACCTATTCAGGTATCTATGAGCTTCTTTAAATGTTTCCACTGCCAAAACGGAGCTGCCATTGATTTCGTTAAATGTCAGGTGTAGTTCCTTAAAAAAACACAACATTTTGTTTAGAAAGAAAATTAATTGGAAGAGGCCATTGATTTTAGAGTTTTAAAAATATACACAATAGGATTCTTGGAACTGATGAAGTAAGATAGCCCCTTGCTGGCCCTTCATTAACCAGAGTTCCTATGTGGTCTTCCAGGCACAGACAAGCAGGACAGTGACCATCTGTCTTTTCCAGTCCAGAGCGATGGAGACAAATGAGAAGGTTCATGTGGACTCTGAGTTCCGATACACCCTCTTCCCGATTTTTTACAGCATCGTCTTTGTGCTGGGGGTCATCGCCAACAGCTACGTGCTGTGGGTCTTTGTCCACCTGTACCCTTCCAAGAAACTCAATGAGATAAAGATCTTCATGGTGAACCTCACCGTGGCTGACCTGCTCTTCTTGGTCACCCTGCCCCTATGGATCATCTATTACTACCACCAGGGCGACTGGATTCTTCCTAAGTACCTGTGCAACCTGGCTGGCTGCTTCTTCTTCATTAACACGTACTGCTCGGTGGCTTTCCTGGCCGTCATCACTTACAACCGCTACCAGGCGGTGACGCAGCCCATCAAGACCGCTCAGGCCACCACCCGCAAGCGTGGCATCTGTTTGTCCCTGGTCATCTGGGTGTCCATTGTGGCCGCTGCAGCCTACTTCTTCGTCCTGGACTCCACCAACGTAGTGTCCAACAAGGCCGGCACAGCCAACGTCACCCGCTGCTTTGAACACTACGAGCCGCGCAGCATCCCAGTCCTCCTCATTCACATCTTCCTCGTGTTTGGCTTTCTCCTTGTCTTCCTCCTCATCCTCTTCTGCAACCTGGTCATCATCCGCACGCTGCTCACGCAACCCATGCCGATGCAGCGCAATGTGGAAGTCAAGCAGCGGGCGCTGTGGATGGTCTGCACGGTGCTGGCTGTGTTCATCATATGCTTCGTGCCTCACCACCTGGTGCAGCTGCCCTGGACCCTGGCCGAGCTGGACTTCCAGACCAACGAATTCCACCAGGCTATTAACGATGCACATCAGGTCACTCTCTGCCTCCTGAGCACCAACTGTGTCTTAGACCCCGTCATCTACTGTTTCCTCACCAAGAAGTTCCGCAAGCACTTAACGGAGAGGTTCCACAGCATGCGCAGCAGCCGGAAGTGCCCCCTGGCCACCATGGAGACGGGCACCGAGGTGGTCTTGCCGCTCAACCAGGCCCCCGCCAATTCCCTCAAAAATTAGCCAGCCCAGAGACTTCTGCTTCATGACTGACATGGGGGAAGGAGGGATATTTGCTGTGGTCTGGGCACCTCCTCCCTGGGCACCTGGCGGCCCATTAGATATGGGGGCTACCTCCCCAAGGTGGGACGGTAAAGAGCCAGACTGCTGAAAATCCCGAATTGGAATGAGTCCCTTGAGCCACCTTTGGGCACCTGCCATAGTAACCTTGCCTGGTGACCTCCTCCCGGGTGCCTGCATCTGAGAGCTCTGGGAGGAAAGTCAGAGCTGGGGCAGGACTTGAGCGCTGAGCCACCCAGTACACCCTACAGGACAGCAGCCCAAGCAAGTGTGGGCAACCACTCCCTTTATCACTGGAAAGGCAGAGAAAGGGGTTTCGGGAAAGGGACACTCTCATGGTGCTGTGGCAGTATCTCTGGGACAGAATTTTGAGATAAGATGGCGCCACCCTGTCTCCGCCCACAGGCACAAGGTCTTTGTAACCCTTCTTAGGGAAGTGGCTTGGTGGAAACTTCTCCCAACTCACCCAACAACATGCTGAATGGTGACTAGAGAAGAAAAAAATGTGCAGAGACCAAACTCTAGGATGGGGAGCTTGTTGCCTGAGGCAGATGTGTCTCCCTGCACAGGTCACATTTCAGGCCTGGCTTGGCTCTGGGGCCATGGGAGAGACACAATCGCCAAATCCATCTGTCTGTCTCAATAATGGACTTTGATGAAGTACCTGCTGTTGAGCAACCACCCACTGTAGGAGGACAAAAGCCTCTTAAGGCTGAACTCTGGCCATCCAGGGTGCTGAGCTGCCCAGAGGCTTCCATGCAAACAGGAGCTTTGGCTGGGAAGTGCCTGTGTGTGGGAGGGGCCTTGGTGTGGAAGGAGCCTGCCAGGTCTCCTCCCTGCCTCAGTTTCTAGGGGATCCCTCCTAATTTAGCTTCTAGGAGGTGGGAGGAGCAGTTACAGCCTCAAGGGCCAGCAGGCACTTTGATTTTCAGTGTGTATATCCAAACGAGCCTCCTCTTGCACCCTGAGCTGAATACCCGCAGTACGAATCTAGCAGCCTCAGACCCAGGGCTTGGAAGAGCCTTCTCTGGTTTCCAGAGCTTTGTGGGCCTTCTAAGAAATCTTCCCTTCCCGATAGTGTCCCCATAAAGTTGGGATCCTTGTTTTTTTGTCTACTGGGCAAGCACTGGATCGATGATTTTGATAACTGCCTCCCAAAGGGCCAGGAAACCACTTGTGTTCCCAATGGTAGCTGTGGGCTGGACTTAGCTGATGGTGACCAGGTAGATGGTGCGGCTTATTAGAGCTTTGGTGTCACGTAGACCCAGGTTCAAGTCTTGCCTTTGTCACTTCCTGCTGAGGGACCAGGAGCTGAATTTCCTGCCTTATGGGGTTGTTCTGAGCAGTGAATTAAGTTGCTGAGGCAGATACCTCTTGGTCTGGGTGCCTGCTCATCTCAGATTCTCCCTTTTTCTGAGAATTTGTTCCCCTCGGTCTTCCTGTAGGAGTTGAATGGATGAAAGGTGAGCTAGTCAAGTTCTCTTAGGAACAAGTAGCAAGATTCAGGGATGCTCTTTCAGGCTCTGCAGGTCACCCACCTGAAGAGAGTAAACTCGGGAGCTGTGAGTGTGTGCATCTACACGTGTGTGTCTGCCTGTGCATCTGTGCCGGGGTTGGGAGGGTGGCGGCGGGTAGCCACCTACATGCGTGTACTAGAGAAGGAGACGCACAGAGCAAAGCAGAGACCAGAGGGAGACCCCCAAAGCCTGGGTGGGGGTGGGGGTGTTACCAGGGACCTGCGGCTCTCCTCCTCCAGGCCAAGGCCTTCTGAGGCACAACTGCACTTTTTCCTTTGGGGCCTGTGAGAGTTCTTGGCCAGGGCACCTTCTCTTACTTTGCTTAAGCTGATTTGAGTTATCTGTTACTTGCAACCAAAAGTGTTCGGAATTAGATAAACTCTTCTATGCTGAAAAGCACAGTGTTTCTCAAATGTCAGGGTTTATATACCCACTTTGCAATTTTTGCAATATCTATGTACCAGCTATATGATTGCTTAATAAACATTTTTCTTTAAATTGGGTCACTTTTTAAAACTTAAATTATTCAAAAGGATGTTTTATTTATAAACAAAAACGAATGCCACCTGCCACATGCAGGAGGTAAATTTCAAGTGTAATTATTAAAATTAAAATATTCTTAGGGTCCTGTCTAAAGTCACCTCATATGCCCCCAGGGACTTGCATAGTACACCTCAGGAAACACTGCTATAATGTGTATGAAGTGCACGGGGTCTGTATTCAGTAAGTGCTCAATTAAGAGTAAGTTGACAGTCCAACTCCCTTGCTTCTTCCAGAATGCTGCCTCAAAACAGGACAGGGCCTCATTCCTACCCGGGGCCCATGGAGGACTATTTCGGTCTGGCCCATGCTGGTCTCCGTACCATCTGAGTACAGCCACGTTTACTCCCCCTGTGGTCTCTGCTTGTTTGTGGCCTCAGATGCTCTCTCTTCTTTTTGCCCAGAATATTCCTTATAGACAACTTTCCCGAAGGCCTCCAGGCAGGGTCATTACCTTTCTCCTAGCAGCATTTTAGGGCTGGAAGGGTCTAACATTTTTGTACCTTAGTTACTGCGGTCATTGACGTTCATGCATTTCAATGTCTGTCTTCCCTTTTCTGGGGCAGGAACGGAATCTTACTCATCGATGTATCGATGTATTGGCAGTTCCTCAAAAAAGGCCTGGAATTGAGATCAGCCTGTCTCCAAAGCTCACTGATTTCCCAGGATGTAGCATCAATGGACATAATGACATTTATACACACTTATTTTGGAAGGGTTTAAGAGACTCTTCTGGGACAGGTAGAAAAGGAATTTAATAATACATTTCCTTCCAAAGTTCTATGTTCATACTTAAGGGGAGATGTTGGGGATTTTCAGAGGATCAGAACGTTTTGGAGCTGGACAGGTCCAACCCGTTTATCTTACTAAGGGGAACATGGGACTCAGAACGGCCAAGTGATTGTAGAAATTACACAGCATGGAACTGCAGCGAACACAGAACTGGTTGCTAAGCTCTGTGTCTCACTTCTTGCAATAGTGACAGATATGATAGGAAAAGCTGATTTGTAATTATTTCAAAGAAACAAAATCACCAGTCAGGATTTTCAAGCCATCTTGTAAGTCAAGAAAGCCTTACCCTGTATTTCCTCCTTATCTCAGCTTTCCCCTCAGGGCGTTTCCCCAGTGATCTCAGCTGGGGAATGTCGGTACAGGCAAGACCTGCCCACCCAGAAAGATGAGGGATAGGCTTGACGGTGCTGAGAGTAGGTGTCAGGTGCTGGGGAGGGGGAGGGGGGGAACTCCAAAAGCCTAAATTTAGGAGTGATTCCCAAGAACTGACACATAGCCTTATTCAGATTCCTAAGAACTTTAATAGGAGAAACTCACATATATGGGCAAAGCAGCTGTCTGCTCTCAGTGGTGGCCGGCCGGGAAAAAACCCACACCCTCCTAGAACAGGGTCTCTTTTTTATAGGGGATTAATAGTAAAACCACATGGTGGGTAGTCATGCAGACCACCAGAAAGAACAATGCATTTCTAAGTTAACAAATAACATCAGGCAGCTTTCCACATTCTATGTATTCATTAACCTCCTTCCTGGGGGCATGACATTTATTTTTGGGCAGCATTCCAGCTTTCTGGGTAATCAGTCAAGACAGGCTACAGAGCGTTAAACAGTCACAGAAGTTTAAACAGAGAGTCCAGCATTCCCCAGACACCTTTACCATTGGGGATACATTGCACCTCTGACTTCCCCTACAGTTGGTCACGGTTGACTAGAACTGGGCGTGTTTATGCTGCTTTTTACTCATCTGTGTTATATCTGTGCTTGAGACCTGTGGCTAAAAATAGGTACAATAAAATCTTGTAAAATATAACTGTCTTTTTTGTGCAGACTTGTATTTTTGTAGTACTAATTATGTTTCCCCTGACATTCTGCCAGCAAGCCATCCCCTCACCTACCCATTCATTCATTCATCAGTCTGTCCATCCATCCATCCATCCATCCATCCAGGTATCCAACAAACACCTATGGAGTACATATTTTGGTCAAGTAACTTTGCCAAGCACAGTTTTTATTTGGTGTCTCACATCCTCCGTGACAGGTAGGTCATTCCATCCCCATAGAAATGAATGAAATAAATAAGGACCTGAGTTGGCTGAATGTGACAATGGCAGCCTCCCAGGTACTTGGGTACAGAGGAAAGGGGACTACTTTTTGTTAAGCCCCAGATATTTGCTTGCCACCTTTATAAATCTTATCCCATGAATCCTCACAACCACTACAGAATTGATGTTTTCATACTATTTTACAGATGGGAAAGTTGAGGCTTGGAGGGGTTCTGTGATTATTTTTAAAGATTTTATTTATTTATTTTTAGATAGAGGGGAAGGGAGGAAGAAAGAGGGAGAGAAACATCAATGTGTGTTTGCCTCTTGAGTGCCCCCTACTGGGGACCTGGCCCCCGCAACCCAGGGATGTGCCCTGACTGGGAATTGAACTTCGACCCTTTGGTTCACAGGTCAGCACTCAACCCACGAGCCACACCAGCCAGGGCAGTTTCATGATTCGTAATGGTAAAAGAACTAGTAAGTGGCAGAATAATATTTAAACCCAGATCTGTCTTAGTAAATGTGGGTCCCTTTTCTTCTCTCTTCCCCTCATGTGACTGTGATTTTGCTTAAGCCCCTCTAGGCACTGTCCTAGCTTTGGTGTGTGCTGGGGTAGCAGTCTCTTGAGGAGCACAGCAGCTGGCAAGGGGCTCTGCCCCGCTGCTTCCGGCTTCCTGTCTGAGTTGAGGGCTCTGGCATCCAGCAGCAATGACCCCTTCCCCAGAGTGGTTCCTGTGGTCAGTGAGGAAAGCACTCCTGCAGGTGGACGGTGGATGCGAATGCAGTGCTTCAAAAAACTTTCAAAGCCAGAAAGTCGTTGTCACTGAAGCTAGAAGGTGCATTAAGTGGTCACCTGGATCTCGACATCTCTGTCAAGAGGAGGGGAGGAGGTGAACACTCAGTAGTTATAGACAGCTTATTGTGTCCAGGGCACTGTGAGGGGAACTTCACCTGGGGGCAGAACTGACTCTTCCCTTTGTCTGAATCACTCTGCTCCCCCCCCACCCCCCCACCCCCCAATATCTGTGTGGCTTACTCCCTTGACTTCTTCAAGGCGTTACTCAAATGTCCCCCTCTCAGTGAGGTCTGCCTTGACCACCTTATTTAAAGCAGAAGCTTAGAATGAAATGATTCCCCAAGGCCACAGAGTGAACGGCTGGGTCTGTGTGGCTCCTTGCTTCCTATCTTACACTGGCTTCCTCTGTCCACATCCTTCACGATGTCTACATATGAAGGTCCATATCTTTTACCTTCCAGTCAAGAAAAGCAAGCATCAAAAAGGGGAAATGACTTAACATGGTGACTTGATAAAAGAGGGATGCATAGATCTTCTACTACCTCCGTTTTGCAAGACACTTCTCTGACACACTTCTCTGTCTGAATGCATGTTGTTTTCTTGAATCTTCTCTGGCCTTTTCCCTAACAGTTCTAGGGTTCCATATCCTTTCCTTCTTTTGTATCTTTTTCTGTGTGTATTAATTTCACATTGACATAAAGGACATAATACATATATTGGGCTATGGACCTCATTCCAGGTCTCATTACCCCGCCCCCCAATTCCATTCGGCATTGTTTTTACAATTTAACTATGTTGTAGTGCATTCATCTGGTTCATTGATGCTACCCTCTGCTCCACCATCCTCCACTGTGTGCACTTACGTCTTACTTACCTATTTCCCTGGTAATGGACACTTAGGTTGCCCTCAGCTCCTTCGAGGAGATGCTTCCCCATGTTCTCCTAAGAATGAATGTAAGAATATCTCTGGGATGTATACCCAGGAGTGACATTCCCAGGTCATAGGCTACACCCATACTTAATGGAATGAAGAATTGCCGAGTAAGTCACTTTTTGAATGGGTGCACCAGCCTACGCTCACTCCCATGAGTAGTCACATGAGAGTTCCTATTTCCCCAACCCCCCACCCACCCTTGGCATTGCCCAACTTTCACATTGTTGGTGGTGTGCAGTGAAATTTTGTTTTCAGTTTGACTTTCTCTCTGGTTACTAGTGGGTCTGTAATCTATACTCTTGAGTCCTTTGAGTTTGAATTCTGACTCCAAAGCCTGCGGGGTGTCACACAGTGATCAGTAAAGGGGCCCCTGGGGCCATGTGACCAGGCCAATTTCTGGCTCCGCCTAGTCTGTGCTTTGGAGCAGACTATTTGGCTCTCTGGGCTTCTGTTTCTCCATCTCTAAAATTCGAATAGCTTCACTGTTGACATAATAACAGAGTTTTGAGGATTTAAAATTCCTTAGTGCCTGGCAACGAATGAATACTTAGTGCTTGTTAGCTTCTGTCCGGATAGATGGTGGTGTTCTCTCCGCAGCCTCCCTGTTCACTCTGGCCCACAGCCCCATCCCCTTTGCCCCTCTTCAAAAAGTTTATATTGTGTAACTCCAAATTTTCCTTCGAAATGTGAAACTGTAAAAGAGAGGAACAGAGTGTGACCAGTCTGGCTTTGTTTTTATTTAACTTCCTAGGTCACTCTAAAATACATGTGGCGAGTGTTTCAAGAATTGCCACATGTGAGAATCTGGGGATTTTTGACTTTTGGAAGGAAGTAATGAATCATTTCCTTAAAAGAAATCATGGGGTATCCAAGAACACCCAGAGTAAAAAGGCAACCCACTGAACGAGAGAAATTTTTTGCAAATCATGTAGATAAAGAACTCCAAAAACTCAAAGTAAAAAGGCAACTCAATTAAAAAATGGTTAAAGGACATAAATAGACATTTCTCTGAAGTAGATATACAAATGGCCAAGAGACACATGAAAAGATGCTCAATACCGCTAATCATTAGGGATATGCAAATCAAAATCACAAAGAGATAAAACCAGAAAACAAGTGTTGACAAGTGGAGAAATTGAAACACTGTATTGCTGGTGGGAATGTAAAGTGGTGCAGCTGCAGTGAAAAACAGTGTACAGTTCCTCAAAAACTTAAAATAGCATTACCATATGACCCAGTAATTCCACTTCTGGATATACAAGCAAAAGAATTGAAAGCAGGGACTTGAACACCAAGGCTTATAGAAGCAATATTCACATTAGTTAAAGGTGGAAGCAACCCGCACCCATCAAGGGATGGATGGATAAACAAAATGTGGTATAAACATACAACGGAATACAACACATCCCTAAAAGGAAGGAAATTCTGACACACACTAGAACATGGATGAACCTTGAAGACATTCTGCTAAATAAAATAAGCCAGACAAAGGACAAATATTGTATGGTTCCACTTATATAAGATTGCTTGGAGTAGTCAAATTCTTGGAGACAGGCAGTAGAACCTGTGGTTGCCACGTGTTGGGGAGAGGGGCATGGGTAGTTTAATGGGTATGAAGTTTCATTTTGGGGGGATGAAAAATTTCTGGAGATGGTTGGTGGTGATGTTTGTACACCAGTGTGAATGTACTTAATGTTGATAAACTGTACATTTAAAAAATGGTTAAAATGGCAATTTTATGTTACCACACACACACAAACTTTTTAAAAAGAGAGAAGATGGGGTAGAAAGAAATGAGGTGAGAAGGGAGAAATCGAGGGTCCCAAAGGAGCCTTTTTCACAGTTGGCCCTCCACATGCAAGGCGGTGCTGCCTGTCGATTCACTAAACTCTGCTTGAGTTGCCGGGTGTGAAAGAGCTTGGTCAATAAAATTCTTTCTTTTTTAAATTATTTTTATTGATTTTGTTATTACAGATGTCCCATTTTTTTTCCCCTTTGCACCCTTCCATCCAGCACTCCCCACTCCCTTAGGCAATCCCCACACCATTGTTCATGTTCATGGGTTATTCCTATAAGTTCTTTGGCTTCTCCATTTCCTATAGTGTACTTTACATCCCCATGGCTATTCTGTAACTACCAGCTTGTACTTCTTAATCCCATCACCTCTTCACCCATTCCTCCACTCCCCACTCCCATCTGGCAACCACCAAAACCCTCTCCGTATCTGTGATTCTGTCTCTGTTCTTGTTTGCTTAGTCTGTTCTTTAATTTCAGTTGTTAGTAGATGTGTATTTATTGCCATTTTACTGTTCCTAGGTTTGATCTTCTTTTGCTCAAGTAAGTCCCTTTGACATTTCATACAATAATGGTTTGATGATGATGAACTCCTTTAGTTTTTTTCTCATCTGAGAAACTCTTCACCTGCCTTTTGATCCTAAATGATAGCTTCACTGGGTAGAGCAATCTTGCCTGTAGGTCCCTGCTTTTCATGATTTTGAATATTTTTTGCCAGTCCCATATAGCCGCAAAGTTTCTTTTGAGAAATCATCTGATAGTCTTATGGGAACGCTCCTGTGGGCAACTAACTGCTTTTCTCTTGCTGCATTTAAGATTCTCTCTTTATCTTTAACCTTTGGCATTTTAATTATGATGTATCTTGGAATGGGCCTCTTTGCATCCACCTTGTTTGGGACTCTGAGTATCCCACTGTAGATGTTACAGAATGTGTATTTAACCTAGGTAGTGCTGAAACAATTCTAATTTTCTGTTTGCTTGTGTACTCACTTGATGAATGCTTTTCTCCCCAACACAACCACTACTAGCCTACAAACTCCAGGGGAGCAAGGGCTTTGTCTGTGTCTGTTCACCATTAAATCCCCAGTACCTTGTTCTGTAGGCACTAAATGTCTCTTAAAAACACGGACACACATGCTCATTTTCAGATCAGGACACTGAGGCTTGTTCCAAAGTCACAGAGCCAGGAGTGGATAAAACCCCCAAATCTGATGCCAAAACCTACCTTTCCTTCTTTTCAC